CGTGATTGTCTTCTTTGAATCGAGTTCGCTCAGCGTCATTGTTTATTCAACCATTTAATCAAGTTAGGACAGTTTATTTTGACTTTTTTAATATTTGAAATGGAAGAATATTGTGATAGTGCGAACGAAATTGTTGCAAGTAGAAACTACACAGGTGTAGGTAAACGAAGAGGTGGAAGTTTGTGAAAAATCTTGACCAATATTGTAAAATAAAAAAAAATATTTAAACATTTTTAGTTTTCTAAATACCAATGATGTGTTTCTTTATTAAAAAAATTAATTTTGTTTTTTTTTTTTTTTTTTTTCAAATAAGTCACTGACGTCTAACCCACCAAAAAACCAAATAAATTTAAATACCAAATAAGTTTAAATATAATTTGCACCAATTTTTTTATGGGGACAGCTTTTAGTTATGAAATCCTTTGTAAAATTACAATCATGATTTCGCTCATTTTCGAACATTTGTGTTTTAATCAAATCAAATCACTCACTTAACTGGGATGAATCAAACCGACAAGACTCCTCATAGATGATCGACCCGTTATGAACAATTCAACATAAGTTCGTAAACAAATAACTCATGTGAGCTGTTTGATTGCGATCACAAAACTTCGATCAATACATGTTTGATCACAACTTTTTCGTTTGGCTTGAGTAACTCGAATGAACATGTTGCATCTGACCGACTGATTGAGTTTGATTGTATTTCCAATGTGTGTGATCAAGCCTACTCGATCATACTCATTGCAGCCCTCTGGTCCACATTTTGGTATAGCCCCCAAATAACGGTACCTCCCGATATTCGGTATTATGATGATTTTTGCCACATTTTTTCTACAAATTGGTATTTGTTGATCATAATGGGTTCTAGTTCCGGTGGGGAAACATTGTATGTATAGGTCCATGATTTGGTGTAGCCCCCATATAACGGTATCTCCCGCTATTCGGTATTTTTATGGTTTTTGTCATATTTTTTCACGGATTAGTCTAAAAATTGGTATTTGTGGGTCACAATGGATTCTAGTGTTTCGTTTACCCTAAGGTGGAGGGTATCAAAAGGGAACAACTCTAGTTTAGTAAAAACTCTTAGATTTTTTCGAAATTTTTTCCAGAGGTAGGTATTTTTACCCTGATCCCGGGAAACTATTTTTTTCTTGGGGGACGGACCCAAGACCCCAGATTTTTGACCCGAAAGTCCGGGATCAAGACCCCGCCTGTACCCGGATTTTTTATGAAACCCCCAAAAAGTCAAAAAAGGGCCCATTATGGGGGTCAACAAAATTGTTTCCAAATTATAGCTGACACTCCTACCTTTCCAAAATGCTACAATTTGTGCTAATACCTTTTTCGGGTCCAGAGATATGGGTCTTTCCATCCGCATAACGCGATTCTAACCAGTTCATTAAAATTATGTTTTCAATAAAAAAGTGTTTATTTCGAGTAGCAGTCGTCGGAATAACAAAAGTTTTCTAAATTTGGCACTTTTTGTAAATAGCCGGTGCTTGAGATTTTCACCTATGGGTATGTCCGACACCGGCTAACGCGAACAAAAGGTTCATAATTTCGGCACTTATTGTAAATAGCCGGCCTTCGGCCGGGGCTTGAGATTTTCTCCTCTGGGTATGTCCTACACCGGCTAACGCGAACCAAAGTTTTCTAAATTGGATACCTTTTGTAAGTAGCCGGCCTTCGGCCGGGGCTTGAGTTTTTTTGCTCTGGGTATGTCCTACACCGGCTAACGCGAACCAAAGATTTCTGAATTTCATGCTTACGCAAAATATACCTTTTTTTTATTGAAAACATAGTTTTAATGAACTGGTTAGAATCGGGTTATGCGGATGGAAAGACCCATATCTCTGGACTCAGTGAAGGTATTAGCACAATTTGTAGCATTTTGGAAAGGTAGAAGTGTCAGCTATAATTTGGCATCAATTTTGTTGTCCCCCATAATGGACCCTTTTTTGACTTTTTGGGGGTTTTATAAAAAATCCGGGTCCAAAAAATCGATAATTTGACTATAACTTCCGAACCGTAACATCTTATCAACATGTGACCACTTGTTGGATAGGTATTTTTATAAGCTTTCCAACGATACGATATTGTCTATATCGGGTAAGTGGATCCGGGTCTAGTCGGGGTCTTGAACCCGGACTTTCGGGTCAAAAATCTGGGGTCCCAGGTCCGTCCCCCAAGAAAAAAATAGTTTCCCGGGATCATGGTTAAAATACCTACCACTGAAAAAAATTTCGAAAAAATTGAAGAGTTTTTACTAAACTAGAGTTAAGCCATCAAAAGTTCCGAACTTTATGTTTTTTACTTGTTTGTTATGTCGTTATCTGTAATGTAAGCCACACACGTTACAACCGTTGGTACAACCTGGTGGGTTGTCAAGTTGTATGCTTCGGCCACAAACGATACAACTTTGTGTACAACCTCTTTATACAACTTCACTTTTCTAAGAGTTCATTTGAGTTAAGATGACACCGGAAATAATTTGGTTCTCAATAATTTACTTAGTAGCCTTTACTTATTATTAATTTTTGAAATTCCGTTTTATATATATTATTTTTTTTATATTTTCATTGAAATCACACATTTGATTGGATTTCGTGTTGTTTGGATGTGCGAAACAAACACAAAATGAAATTGTATGCGACATGCCCACAAACATTGCAATCGGTTGGTACAACATGCCAAATATCAAAAAAATTTTGATTTTTTGTACAACCGAGACACAACTTCGTACAACCGGGCCACAAACGATACAATCTTGAATACAACCTCTGCAAGTTGTACAACCAGTAGTTTCGTGTGTGGCTTGCATAATATTGATCAAAAACTTTAAATAAAAAAAGTTAGCAACGTTGCTAACTAAGGATAATATCGATCATCGTAGTTTCACATTTAATATATTTTTTTAAAGCTGCAACACAAAAAAACTGCAAGCGATTACAAAATAAATTTAATTTACAAAATTATGAATGAAAATTTCCATAAAATGAATAATTGTTCTTTGATACTAAATATTCATAATCCTGTTATTAATTTCATATCGCAAAACCAAATTGTTGGATAAATGGATAATCCACGTAAAAAGCTAAAAACCAAACAAAAGTAAAACTCCTAACGATTATTTTGATGTGCAAACTTTTGTTACCGTTTTGGTTAAAATATGAAGTATTTGCTTGTAAACAAAAAAAAATAGGGAGTTTTTTTCAAAAAGGCTTCCGAATAAAAACGAGGGAGAGGGCTCTTAATGGGGCGCGTCTTAAATTCTTGAGAATGTGGAAATATAAATTTAAATTGTGGTTTCCTTTGAGAGATTTTTCGAAATTCTTCCTTACAAAATGACACACGCTTATATGTGTGCCCCCTAAAACATCGGATAATTTATGTTGACAATTGGTCAGGGTATTTTAATCGGCCATGCCTTGATATTTTCGTAACAATTGCAAACCAGTATAATATAAATACATTTATTATATTAAATTCTTATCAGAATTTATATCTTTCTATAAATTTTGAATTTTTTTTGCTCCAGTTTTGTAAACTTCAATAAAAAGTTTAAAATTCTATATTTTGGGAAGATGTTTCTTTACCTATCATTTGATACATAAATCGGTTCTAAAAACGTTATATTTCGTTGCTTTTTCCCGAAGTTTCGGTTAAAAAACCGGATATTATCCGGGAATTATTGCCAAACCAGGATTGTTCCGCTTTAATTGGGGGCTGAATTGTTTTTCTTAACTCTCATAAGTATTTTTGCATCTACCTGGGACAATGAACTGTCAAACCGATTTTGGAATTGAAAATGTTGAATGAAAAAATAATTGTTGAAAAAAGAGTATTACAACAACTTCTGATTTGCGTCGTATAAGAAAACTTATAAAAATCTACTTATTTTTGACAAAATGTTTTAAAAATGTTGACATATGTTCCCAAGCGTTGATGCATCTACTTGTATTCTTCTAACATGGCAAATAGGTTGTACCATGGCAGAAGAATACAGGTAGATGCATCAACGCGCATTGATATGTCAAAAAAATTTAAATGTTTTTCAAATATAAGTGGATTTTTATATGTTTTCTTATACTACGTCATACGGAGGCTATTATAATTCGCGTTTTTCAACAATGTTTACAAAATTTAAATAATTTTTCTTTCAACATTTTCAATTCCAAAATTGGTTTGACAGTTCATTGTCCCAGCAGCTGTGTCGACGCGTCTACCTATATTCTTCTACCATGGGTTGTACACAAAAGGTGTGTCTGGTTACCCTAAAATTTGTAACAATTGTTACAAATTATTACTGGAAGTCGTCCGAAAGTTCTGCAAAAGAGAGCGGTTGGAGAGAGAAATTTTGACAGTTCTTTCAGTGAGAGTTTGCAAATTCTTGTTGGACAAATTTCTTCTTGCAATCACTTGCAACTCTTCTTCTTCTCATTCATCGACATTCAATCAGATTTTTTCTATTGCTTGTTTATTTATTTTTGTGCTTTCAATTTGAAAATATTTTTTTGGAATTAGCAAGACTAATAGTTTTTGGAGAACAACTTTACAAAATGTGAAAAACGTAAATGTTAATATGTAATAAGAAAATAAAAGACTATTTCCAACATTTTTATTAAAAAAACTTGTAAAATTTGTATTGCTTCCTTTGTTTTAATTCTCCTTATGGGGGACAAATTGGTTTGTTTTGACAAATCAGCTGATTAGTTTCAAGCTTCTGCAGGAATACCGTCTGTTTACTTTTCGCATTTTCCTTGCAAAAGAGAATAAAACTATCTTTTCTCTCAGAAAGAAGTTGCTGGACAATTCCTGCTGGAAAAGTAACCAGACACACCTAAAGTTGTATCGTTTGTGACCAAGGCGTACAACTTGATTACCCTCCAATTTGTGCCAACGGTTGTATCGTGTGTTGCTTGTATAAAGTGGCCTGGAGACGCGCAAATTTTTTCATCAAGCAAGTGCGTATGTATTAGTGTGTAACTTCGTGTTTTGCCCGCAAACGTACAAACAAGTTTGTAAAACATTCATTTTGTAATTATTTTCGTTGAGTGCAGCCATCATCAAGCAGAGCCGACAACAAATGTGTGTAGCCGACGAAAACCGATTAGACTCACATGGAAACACACATATAAACTGCTTGACCAACAAATTCGCGCGTCTCCAGGGCACTTAACATTGTATCCATTAATCGACGCCGTTTAAATTATTATTAGTTCGTCTGTGATGTCTTCTGCTTGTTGGATATATAAAGCTTACTTTGTGGAAAAAAATTGTAACAAAATGGGTCCCAAAAAAAATACATTTACCAAAATGTGAAATGGGCTGCATCAGTAGTAGTAATAGTAAATTATTTTCGTTAAAGAAAGAGAACGTTTATAATGTAAATGTTTTAAGAGTCCAATCTGAACAGTCCGTGATATTAGCGGGGCAAGGAGTTCTTGAAATAACTCCAAACGAAATAATCTTTATTGCTCCTAATCACGAACCAGTTTCTTGGGCATTGCAACATCTCCGGAGGTATGGATTGACGGAAGATATATTTAGTTTTGAGGCTGGTCGGCGATGCACCACTGGTCCTGGAATTTATACATTTCGCTGCTGGAATGCTAACCAATTATACTCCAAGTTTCAATGGTATATAAATTCTATGTCGTTAGGGGTGGATCGCGATCGCAATGGGAACTCGAGTCATCATTACAATCTTTTTGATCGATTAGATTCTCACCAGCAACAACACCACTCCAATCATTACTTGGAACCAACTTCTATATTGGGGTCTGTGATCGAACAGAGAACTACTATAAACAATTCCAGCAGCAGTGTACTTAACATTTCTGAGTCTTTGTTAAGTTCACCCCTTACATCGGAAATTGTTCATATACCAACAACGTCGTACAGTAATGTTACTCCCAGGCATAATAGCGACAATATATATTTGGATCAACCAGTCTCTGTTGCAAATGAAAACAATACGTCCAGCACAGGTGCCAAAGGGATCGATCACTACGAGATTAATGTAAAGAAAATGATAAGGACATCATCTTTGGATGTGCCACCAGATGAATGTGCTCCTGCATTAACTCCCGTTGCTAAAGAAGTTCAACGAATTTATTCAAACATTGACTTGAATGCAACCACATCACACAATACAAATTTAGCAAATACACCGACAAACCCTTCGTCGGAGCCAGCTTATGCTAATGTTGATGTTAGTTTCAATAGCAAAACAAACACGCCTCAACAAATGTTGCCACAAAGTTCATCCCCGGAAAAAATTCATTTAACGCACGGTACTGCAGTTAATTACATTGTACTCGATTTAGATCAACCACGTAGCCCATCCCAATGCTCCCCAAAAACAACTTTTGGTAGCGGGCAGTCGCTAAACGAGGAAAAGACTAGTGTGGACATTTTAACATCTGAAGAAAAATTAAAAGAAGCTTTATCGTTGCCTTGTAATTCGTCGACGATGCCAAAGAGAACGACTATGAGTGATGTTAGATCTAATTTATCCGATACGAAAATCGATTCGTCAGGAAGTTATACAAGAATCGATTTCCTAAAAACGTTTGCTTTAATGAAGTCATCCGCAAACTATGCAGATCTTGAACCTGATCATGATCAAGAAGAGTCTCGTATAACGCGTCACAGTAAATTTATAAGAAAAGCTTATTCTATAAGTGAATAAATGTATTTAGTAGAAAAATATAGACCAAATGAGTATGTTTGTAATATATTGTATAACAATACTGGTTTTATTCGATACTGTTTTATTGCTCACTTCTGGAAGCCACTGTTTCGAATTGTAATTTGAAAACATTGACCCGTTTCGTCGAAAACGGAAGGTTTGATTTTATAATGCGTTGTCAATAAATCTCATGGAGTCACTTTATAGTTCGTATCCGAAACTTCGCATCGAATTTCTCATCATCTGACTGAATATTCTTGTCCATTTCCTTAATTTGATTTGTACATTTTCTTTTTGGTAGTTTGAGAAGACGTCTCGTGTTTGGCTTAAATTGAGTTTAGCTCTAAATGGCGGAAAATTCTGAAATTTTTAACGAAGGTAGGTCTTGTTATCCCAATCACAGCGGCACAATTTTTTTTTTTGGAGGAAATTAATACTTCCCGAGATACGGTAAGTTGAGTTTAGGGTCTATGCTCGGATTGGCCTGAAATTTTTACCACGTGTAGATCTTTTTAACCTGATTACGGCAAAGCAATTATTTTGTGGGGGAAATACCCGGTTATTCGAGGCGGAAGCCCGGATACAAACTTTGTACATTTCAGCTTTATCCGGTTCTACAAAACTGTACAAAATGAGTATAATGTGAAAGCTTATGGAAATGGCTTTCTAAGAAGTGGTTATATGATAGGTTGGTTTTAATAGTTTTTTTTTTTTTTTTTGAAAAACGCATAACAAGTCGAAAATGGCCCATTATGGGGTCTTAAAAGCTGCATATTACATTGTATCATACACTCTGGACTTTCCAAAATGCTGTCATCCGTATTGATATATCTTGTAGTTCAGATTTTCTCCACTAATATGTACATATCTAAAGGTTATAGCTTTGTAATTTCGAAGATATTGACTTTAAAGTCGAATTCCGGCTATATATATATATATATATATATATATATATATATATTCAGCGAATTTATTCAAACATTGACTTGAATGCTTTCAAAAAACAACTTTTGGTAGCGGACAGTCGCTAAACGAGGAAAAGACTAGTGTGGACATTTTAACACCTGAAGAAAACTTAAAAGAAGCTTTATCGTTGCCTTGTAATTCGTCGACGATGCCAAAGAGAACGACAATGAGTGATGTTAGATCTAATTTATCCGATTCGAAAATCGATTCGTTGGGAAATTATACAAGAATCGATTTCCTAAAAACGTTTGCTTTAATGAAGTCATCCACAAACTATGCAGATCTTGAACCTGATCATGATCAAGAAAGCGTCACAGTAAATTTATAAGAAAAGCTTATTCTATAAGTGAATAAATGTATTTATTAGAAACAAATAGACCTAAGGAGTATGTTTGTAATATATTGTATAACACTACTAGTTGTATTCGATACTGTTTTATTGTGCATTTCTGGAAGCCACTGTTTCGTATTGTAATTTGAAAACATTGACCCCGTTTCGTCGAAAACGGAAGGTTTGATTTTATAATGCGTTGTCAATAAATCTCATGGAATCACTTTCTAGTTCGTAACCGAAACTTCGCATCGAATTTCTCATCAACTGACTGAATGTTCTTGTCCATTTCCTTAATTTGATTTGTACACTTTCTTTTTGGTAGTTTGAGAAGTCGTCTCGTGTTTGGCTTAAATTGAGTTTAGCTCTAACTGGAGGAAAATTCTGAAATTTTTAACGAAGGTAGGTCTTGTTATCCAAATCACAGCGGCACAATTTTTTTTGGAGGAAATTGATACATCCCGAGATACGGTTAAGTTGAGTTTAGGGTCTATGCTCGGATTGGCCTGAAATTTTTACCACGTGTAGATCTTATAATTATAACATTATAATTTAACCGAATTCGACTTTAAAGTCAATATCTTCGGAATTACAAAGCTATAAACTTTAGATATGTACATATTAGTGGAGGAAATCTCAAATTCATGATTTCCAACACTAATATCTTCAGAACTAATGGCTGTTTTTTAAGCTAGATAGAACCTTAAATTGTAAAAACTAACACAAAAAATTAAATTTTGATGAAACTTTTTTTTTTATTTGTTTCAATATACTCTGACAAATCATCATGAATAGACTCACGCTTGAACAACGCTACGAAATTATCCAAATTTACTTTGAAAATCAGTCGCCGTTGTTTTATAGCAAAATTGTGTTCAGCGATGAGGCGCATTTTTGACTTAACGGGTTTGTTAATAATCAAAATTGCCGCATATGTAGTGAGATAAATCCATAAGAGAGCCTACAGACTCCATTATATCCAGAAAAATGCACCGCATGGTGCGGTTTTCACGCTAGTGGCATCATCGGACCTTATTTCTGCAAAAATGAGGCCGGAGCTCGCGTTACGGTCAATGGAGATCCTTACCTCACCATTATCAATGATTTTTTGTTTAAAAATATGGATGACATTGATCCGGAGGAGATGTGCTTTCAACTGGATGGCGCTAAGTGCCATTCGGCGAACGCAACAATCCACTTATTGAAATCAAAATTTGGCGATAAGTTGATTTCGAGAAGTGGGCCTGTCAATTGGCCTGCAAGGTCGTGCGATTTGACACCTCCCGATAATTTCCTGTGGGGCTACGTGAAGTCACTGGTTTATGCCGATAAACCAGCAACAATTGACGCCTTGGAGGCCAGCAGCGTGTTATTCGTGACATACGGCTAGCAGTGCTCGAAAAAGTGGCAAAAAATTGGACGCCCAGAATGCACTTCATCAAGAACAGCTGCGGTACCCATATGCCCGAAATCATTTTCAAATGTTAATGTCACGTATTGATCTTTCGAATAAAAAAATTTTGATTACAATTTAATTTTTTGTGTTATTTTTTACAATTTAAAGTTCTAATGCGCTTAAAAAAACACCCTGTACAATATATATCAATACAGATGGCAGCATTTTGGAAAGTCCAGAGCGTATGCTAAAATGTAATATGCAATCAAATTAAGGAAATGGACAAGAATATTCAGTCAGTTGATGTGAAATTCGATGCGAAGTTTCGGATACGAACTAGAAAGTGACTCCATGAAATTTATTGACAACGCATTATAAAATCAAACCTTCCGTTTTCGACGAAACGGGGTCAATGTTTTCAAATTACAATATGAAACGGTGGCTTCCAGAAGTGGACAATAAAACAGTATTGAATAAAACTAGTAGTGTTATACAATATATTACAAACATACTCATTTGGTCTATATTTTTCTTCTAAATACATTTATTCACTAATAGAATAAGCTTTTCTTATAAATTTACTGTGACGCGTTATACGAGACTCTTCTTGATCATGATCAGGTTCAAGATCTGCATAGTTTGCGGATGACTTCAGTAAAGCAAACGTTTTTAGGAAATCGATTCTTGTATAACTTCCTGACGAATCGATTTTCGTATCGGATAAATTAGATCTAACATCACTCATTGTCGTTCTCTTTGGCATCGTCGACGAATTACAAGGCAACGATAAAGCTTCTTTTAATTTTTCTTCAGATGTTAAAATGTCCACACTAGTCTTTTCCGCGTTTAGCGACTGTCCGATACCAAAAGTTGTTTTTTGGGAGCATTGGGATGGGCTGCGTGGTTGATCTAAATCGAGTGTTTTGCTATTGAAACTAACATCAACATCAGCATAAGCTGGTTCCGACGAAGGGTTTGTCGGTGTAATTTTTGTAAGGCTTACGGCCTGTGCTTCAGATTTTCTCTTCTAGGCTTCCAACACCGGCTACGGTGTTTTTCTAAACATTATAATTAAGCCGGAATTCGATCTAACGTCAATATCTTCGAAATTACAAAGCTATAAACTTTAGATATGTACACATTAGGGGAGAAAATCTCAAATTCATGATTTCCAACACAAATATCTTCGGAACTACAAGATATATCAAAAAAATATTTTGTAAAGTCCAGAGTGTATGCTACAATGTAATATGCAGTTTTTAATACCCCATAATGGGCCATTTTCGAGTTTTTACGGGGTTTTCAAAAATAACCGATTAAAACCATCCTATCATATAACCACTTCTTAGAAAGGCATTTCCATAAGCATTCAAATTATACTCATTTTGTACAGTTTTGTAGAACCGGATAAAACTGAAATGTACAAAGTTTGTATCCGAGCTTCCGCCTCGAATAACCGGGTATTTCCCCCACAAAATAATTGCTTTGCCGTTATCAGGTTAAAAAGATCTACACGTGGTAAAAATTTCAGGCCAATCCGAGCATAGACCCTAAACTCAACTTAACCGTATCAAGGAAGTATTAATTTCCCCCCAAAAAAAAAAAAAAAAAAAAATACTTTCGTTAAAAATTTCAGAATTTTCCTCCAGTTAGAGCTAAACTCAATTTAAGCCAAACACGAGACGACTTCTCAAACTACCGAAAAGAAAATGTACAAATCAAATTAAGGAAATGGACAAGAATATTCTGTCAGTTGATGAGAAATTCGATGCGAAGTTTCGGATACGAACTAGAGAGTGACTCCATGAGATTTATTGACAACGCATTATGAAATCAAACCTATCTTTGCTACTAAATACATTTATTCACTTTTTTTATAAATTTACTGTGACGCGTTATACGAGATTTTCTGATCATGATCAGGCTCAAGATCTGCATAGTTTGCGGATGACTTCATTATTTTTATTTATTTATTTATTTATTCAATATTTTGTAACACAGAAGTCTTTTTAGGCCAAAATAACGTTAATTAGTAATATTACCAAATAGAAAATATCTTAATTATAATAATACAAATATTCATTTTATGACACATTACTATAAAATACCTTATTTTACTCTATTTTGTTTTGGTTTGTTGGCTCCCCAGTCGCAACTACTCTAAGATTAAATATAGAATGATGGAAAAGGCGAAAATTCGAAGAAACAACAAGTGAAAAATGGAAAAATATAAAGCAAAGATAAGATTATGCAAAGTTACAATTCAGTAGTTAAGTGGTTACATAACTTTAAACGAAGCACATTATTAGAATGCGAAAAAATACGCAGGTCAAGAGGTAGGAAGTTCCAGCATCTTGCAACGCGAA